TTATAACTGTGAAGGAGAACGGTTGCATGACTGTACAGTAACCGCGATGTTGGAAAGCAAAACCGGTGTGAATAATCCTTATCTCGTTGTTGAAGAACCCAAGGAGACTTGAGTTCCTTAGACGATGGGATTTTAATTCATTGCAGAGTTTATTCAATTCCGTGAAAGATTTTGGAAGGAAGAGTACACAGGCGTATTTACAAAGGTTACATGAGGGTTTCTAATTGAACTTCTCTGCCAGAATCGTGGATCATTTATGTTCTTTGACGATCGCGTTAAGCTGTCAGAAGTATGAAAGCTGGTTAAACCACCAGTACTTGGCCCAGCTATCGGCCGCCGAAAAAGATAGAATAGAAACATTTCTAGTCGAATTCAGCGGACCGGTCGAGTGGTGGCGAAAGCCTTGAACCACCTTTTGTTCAGCCTACCTCGACAGTGGCATTTCAACTTGAAGGCAGTATCCCTGCTGAAGCAGACACTCTCCGACGTGAACAAGATGCTGTGCAGTCTAGATGGTGCCCCAGTGGTGCCATCGCGATTATTCGACATCAAGGAAATGTTCAGTTTGCTCCCACACCAGGATATCCTCGATGTCGTTGACTGGCCGCTTGAATACCATTTGAGCAAACAGCGTGATTTCGTCTGTGTCAACACCAGAGGGAAGGGTGTGAGTTTTGGACTCTGACAATCGGCTCTGACCACTGGTCCATGTTGGATTTTTCAGAGATCTGGATGTTTGTTGAATTCAAACTCTGACACACATACAATCGTGCTCGGTGTGCTGTTGGAAACCGGAGGTGGGAATCCCCATGGGGAAAAGTACAGTCCTCCCCTTATGTGTGCTCGATCGGAGTTCGTGTTTTTGAACAGTTTGGGGGAAGGAAGGAAGAATGTGTTTGGGGTTAGATTGATTGATGACGTGAGTTTCTTTAATCAATCAATCTATCAGGGAACCTCCCTGCGGATGAGGTTGAATAGATTTTCCAAAAGTTGGAGAGGTGCTATCCCAACAACCTGACCCTGAAACGAACAGATAATGGGACATGAGTCTGGGTTTTTTTGGGCTGTGAAATCCAAGTCAGTCAGGGTTGTCTGTTTGTTGAAGGTGTGCAGGTATCCAACAACGAATAGTCTATTTGGGAACAGGAAACACTGATTTTCCAAAATGGACAATAGTATGCCTCATGGGGGAGTAATTTGCAGAAGAGTGCAGTTGTAGTGAGCTATTTACATCACATTGATTGCAATACGTCAGTGCGTGCGGAGATACCAAGAAGGGCGATTACCTTGAAAAGGGATTTGAGAGTGAAAGGTTTTCCAGTGGTCTTCCCCTGCATATATTGAAACACTTTGCCCCTGGGCGGGACGAACCATGGACACTGACGTGTAAACTACTGATGGGCTGGGGCGTCAGTTGCATGAAAGTAACGGGAATGTGTCTGTAGGGCCATCTGGACAGGGCCCACAGCCTCCCTGTAGCTGCGGTTTTGGCCTGCAGTAGTTGACCCTAGTGGAAGTGGGGGTTACCTGGCTATTGTGGGCTAGTGGGAAGGATTTGGCCTTGGAGCCCAGGCCTGTTTTGTGTGGTTTTTCTTTTGGCTCAGTTGTGCGATAGGTAGTCTAGTGCGCCACAGGCCCTTAGAGCCCAGACCGTAGCTGCAGAGTGAAATGTCCCGTATCCCTAATCAATTAAACCACCAGTATACTTACTAGAGAGCCCTCTGCGGTCTTGTTTGGGCCTCTGACACATCTTGCCATGAATGGATTTAGCTGGGTGCAGGCAGGCCCGTACATCCGTGGAAGGCTGGCGTGTGAACGCGCACACCGTGCTCAAGTACTGGTGCGTTAACTGTCTGGAATGCCTCGTTCAAGCAAGCAGTCACATTCGATTACCCATTGGCTTGTTTCTGCTGCAATTGCCACGAAAAAGAAAATGGCATGCCTATGTCTATGTTTGCCAGTGCAAAAATCCTGCGAACAATGTTTTGAAATGATGCGCACGGAAGCCTACATAGTGGGTTCAGATGTTTTGGGTCTGGATGTCCCCGCCGTACCATCTGGGCAGAGCCGGGTCACGGTTCGGGAAGAGTTCCTAAACAGGTCTGTTCGTGTCTATCCGCCAATAGTAGGCTGTTTGGTAATTCTTTGGCCCGACCTGTCTGGATCGTCTCGGTTGGCCATTCAGATCAGGGAATCTGCCTGGATGCTTGCCCCGAGCCAATCCAGTTTGTTGTTTCGCCATGCTCTGATGTGTCAAGCCCCCCTGGCCTTTGCGCAAACCTGTGCATGGTGCGATGTAGAGAAATAGATGTGTGGAGGTCTGGATGTAGAGAAATTATAACCGAAAGAACGCTGGCGCGTTCTCGTTTCCTCAGAAGTGTGAGATTTGGGTCTCTGTTCCTCGAGGCGCCGAATCCATAGTCTATCCAATTGAGAGCTACAACCACATTTGTTGTTGCTCCTATCGCCTTTTCACCGTGAAGACAAAAGGCTTTCGAATATTACAGACAAGGAAACATAGGTCTTAAGCAGAAGTCGCAGAGTTTCGAGGGTACAGGTGAGACAGCAACATAAGTGTTCCACAGAATCCGTAGAGCGCAAAACTCGAATCGAAACCCAAAGTCTACTGTCCAACATAGGTGTCTGCACAGTTCTGGTTTATTGAACTTTATTCACGTAGCTAATTATCATCCTTTGTGCATATGTTGTTTGAAATCAAGGAAAGTGAGGAAGAGGAATAGTTTGTCTTCGGTTGCTGCGTAATATGCTTTGTCTGCTTGTGTATGCATAGTGATGATCGAAACATCATCTGGCCATGTAACATCACTGCCCAAATGCTGTTGTTGTTTTTTTTTTTGGTTTTTTTTTTTCGCCTTCCCAGAGTAGTGAATTACCAATTTATCATATTTTATAAAAAAAAGTATTTACTAATATTTTTCTGACCTTCTCTGTGAAGGAGATAAAACAAATCTTGAAAATGTTCAAAATAGAAAAGTCAAGAAGCACTGCAATGCAAGCATTCTTGTGAAAAAAAAGAAAAAAAAAGAAAGGTTATGAGACATTGCAGTGCAGAAGCAATGTTATACTCTGTTTATCGCTCCTCCTGTTTCCTTCTGAAGTTTTTGAAGTTTTTGAAGTATTTGAAGTTTAAACTTCATTCTTTTCTGCGAACAGCTACGTTCTGCAAAACCCTGTGGTTACATATCGGAAGCTGCGAGTGGATTGTTTTGTTTAAACCACTAGTACCTTTGCCGCTTCAGAAATGAGGGAAAACGCACGTTCCCGAAGAATTAGGAGGCGGGGCCCGACGACAGCTGCCATTGATAAATCATAAATCTAATCGGCGGCCGTCGTTTCGTTTCGGCTTCCTGAACGGTCGGAGGCCCGCTATTTTCCAAAACGACAAAGGTACTACGGGTAGTGGTTTAATTGTTAGTTTTCGGAGGGATGTTGCATGTGCAGACACTGTGCTGTTGTTAACCATTTCCAGCTGCAAAACCTGTAGCGGCAATTGAATTGCCAGCTGCAAAACCTGCAGAAGCAACAGGATTGCTTGCTGCTGCCATGGGAGGCTTGCAAATGGCCGGTTGCTCTTATCTAGCCATTGTCACAGAACAGGAAAACTGTCATAAACAGCCGCACTGGCATGGTGTCCATGTAGGGCATGATGTATCCGTCATCTGGGCTGCGGAGTCCGAGGACCTCGCTCCACAACCGGCCAAGTGTGCAAATGAAGAATGTATCGTACCGTAGAAAGTGGAGATATACGGCCGCCATGTTTTCCTGTTTTTCACTTCTGGTGAGTGGTGGAGCGAGGTCCTGAATCACTGTTGCTTTGGGAATGCTTTTCTGGGGAGACCCAAAGATGAAACAAATTTATTAAAAATAGCAGTACTCTCTCAGCTCCCGGCTGCTGAAACTGTGCCAGGAAAAAACATGTGTTTGCTGCTTCTAGGCCTTCAAATTGTTGACGGTGTATGATCCTTGTCGTATGCCGGGGGGTTCAGCACTCAAATGGTTTCTTTGGATGCGGAGCCTCTTTGCAGGGTTGCTCGCACATACAGGTTACTTGCATTCTCATCGCCACTTGCCCGTTTCTGTATATGTTAGCATATGAGCAATTTACTATGTAACCTGTTCGGTGACTTCGGTCCATATTTTAGGGATCAAAATCTTCTGCTAAGACCTATATCAATTATCAATGTATCAGTCGTTGCTGAACCTGTCTGGAATGTGCAATGCCCCTGATCTGGCTTTTGTTGTAGCTCGACTCTCGAGGGAGTGCTTCGGGGACTCAGTTCTCACCACTGCAGCTTAGCATGCACTCTCTAAATGTGGGGTATTAATGTCCTTCCAACCCCTTTGGCACATCCGATAAAATTGGAACGATACAGAGGAGAGCAGCATGGCCTATGAGCAAGGATGACGTGCACGAATCGAGAAATGGTCCAAATTTATTATTACGAACTAAAATGAAGTTGGGGTGTTTAGCTGATGAGTTGCTTCGTTCCACTGGGTTGGGTGGGGGGTGGTTGGTCTCCCCTCTCACACTTCCTTCCTGGACTGCTGACAGGGGTTTATGACATGAGCAGGGGTATGATTGGGTCCATGGCTCAAAGCATCATCCTGGATTTTGTTGTCGGTCAGATGCGACAAAGTCAATTTTTAAGATGATCCAAGTCTTGTCAGAAGACCGACATGGTCAGGGCTGAAAGACGACTGTACTGTGGAGTGAAAAACATGATGGGGAGATGCCGGGATCTCAGCATGTGGATCGCAGTGCCATTGTTATCCCTAACAGACCCTTTTTGGCACTTGGGTCTGCATCCCAAATTGCATTGGGTGGAAAAGGCAACCGAGTGGTGATGAGTGCGCTGCGCAGCCCCAGGAGGACCGTTCCCTGGCAGCTGGGCTTTGCAGCCTTGAAAGGATTGAGGTAGTCGTTGTCCTGGCGGGTCCAGAAACTGTTCCAAGTTAGTTACGAAAGGCGGAGTACGCAGGGCAAGTGGTGTGGAAACATAACCAAGTGGAAGGCAGATATGGCAGCTCGTGCTGGCCGAGGTCGTGGCCGGGGGATACGAGTTGGCGGGGGCAGACATGGTGGTATGCCATCCATGTCTGTAACTCCTCTAAATCCTCTCCGTGGACCAGGATGCGGACTGGGAGGTTCGCGCCCAGGAGAAGCAGAGAGGAAGTTGTTGAGTAGTTGTGATGTCCAGGGATCTGGGTCTGCCTCAGGTCCCGAGGAAACGTTTCAACTCCTGCCTGGTAACAATGGTTCAACCACTGCTTTTGCGATGACCATCCGGTTAACGCCTGAACTGCATTGTCTGCTGGCTAACGCCCACGAGAGAGGAATCGTGGCGTGCATGAAGTTTGGGAGCAGCCCTCAAGAAGGTCATGTGATTAAGATTGGCGAAGACGAGTTCAAGTTCAACTCCGCGCCAGAGCGTGATGGACTATGTGACAGTTATGTGCAGCAGCGAAGCGGAGAGGATGGAAACGGTATCCTTGTTGAGGCTGGGCCAGTCCGACGTAAGCTCCATGTCATTCGGAACCTGAATGCCACAGAGAAAGACAGACTGAAACAGAGGTCTGTTCAGGCAGAGCAGCAACAGAAGGCTCGTAAGGCCATTGTGCTGGAGCACGAATTTGGAACACGAGGACCTCCAGGGGCGCCTGGATCGAAGTCTGGGAGGGACCCACCTGCAAAAAAGAGGAAGATGCTGATGGCGATCCCTGCGTCCGCTGGGGGAGACAGTACAACCACTACCAGTACTGCAGGCAGACAGAAGTCCGCGGTGCTGGCTTCGAGCGGGCAGGACCATGCAAATGCGCTAAGAGGTAGTTCGACATTTGGGATGGAGAACCACCCTCAGGGAGCCAGGGGTGCACCTGGAAGAGGTGCTACCGGTGGATCTTCTTGGAACAAGGACAACCTTAACCCAAATACTGGTGGTGGGCGTGGCAACGGTGGTAGAACCAATGGCTTTGCAGGTGGGCCAGGCTTGGGGTCATCATCTATGATGATGCTACCGCCGCGACCAAGGTCAGGGCCCATGGACTCGTCTGCACCACCAACGGGTCCTAATTCTGCTGCCGCAAATGGCGTTCTCCAGGCAGCTGCCATCAATGCTTCCAGTGGGAGTGGGGGATTGTTTGGGAGGGGACATGGGCTGTCTCAGCAGCATGACGTCGACCATAGGCCTTCTGCGTCCACAGGTGAAGCTAGTGGTTCTGGTGGCCCTCGAAATGCTGGCACTGCAGCTGGAAATCGCAGTCCAATTCTGGCTGCCCCCTCCGGAGTCCCACAGATTGGGGGAAACTCAGGATCAGGCGTGTTACCCCAAGGTTCAGCTGGTCCATCTGACAATCCCCCTGGTTGCAATCCTTCATCAGTTTCTGTTGCTCCTACAGGAGCGCTCATCGATGAGGAGGTTCCCAAACAGGTTGGCGTCAACATTGTAGACCTGCGTCATCACTTGATTGCAGTGTTGACAAAGGAGTCAACTGGGATGACAGTCAAGGCATTGATTCAAGCAATGAGGAAGCTTATGCCGGAGTCCCCTCCCGTTGACGGGAAGGACATTGAGCGTGTCATTAAGAGCATTGCCGAATTCCGGGCCCCTGGAAGGTATCACCTGAAAAAGGGACTTACACTGTGTGCTGCGCCACCCAGCAATCCCGCTGCTACAGCACCTGCTGGTGCAGTTTCAGCTCAAAAGGGGGTGGGCGTTGCTCATAATCAGAATGATGGCTGTACTCAGAATGCCTCGTTTAGCGTAGGTATGGGCCGAACAGATGCGGGTGCAGAAGGTTCAGGTGCTGTAACAACCCTGGGACCATCTGGGGGGCCAGCAGCAGCTTCTGATTCCACTGGCGGCCCGAAAGAGGATAACTGCGGAACCAGAGGGAGTGGAAATAAAGAACATGGTGTTGAAAGGGGAGGCGAGTCCCTTGGTCTCAATGGGCCGCATGACGATGTCGGTCGTGCACATGGAAATTGGGGTCTCAGGTCAGAAGCAGAGAATTATAGGCAAGGAGAGTGCAGGGATGATGCACGTCCGCACCTTCGGGGAAAGGAAGGGTTTGGAGCGCATGGACTGCGTGACCAATGGATGGGCAGAGAGGAGCAGCAGGAGCGTGATGACGAGGGAGGAGAAGAAGAAGTTGATATTGGTGGTGCTGATGATGAAAGGGGTCCTGAGAATGGGGGATGCCTGTTGGATCGGGGTCTGGCAGCAGATGGCTGTGGTGTAGTTAGTGAGGATGGCTTTCAGAATCACGATCCCGGAGATCAAACTACAACCACGAATGGAGATGGTAGCCATCGTGAAGACGAAGATGCCAGCAGTGAGGACTCCAGTGGCAGTGAAAGCAGCAGTGGCAGTGACTCTAGTCCTGGGAGTGACAGCGATAGTAGCTCTAGTGGGAGTGCCTCGTCCTCCGACAGCAGTAGCGACACTGATAGTGAATCAAGTGGAAATGAGAGCGAAGACGAGGTTGATAGGGTGCCAGGTCCCAAGACTGGCGAATCTAGGCTTTCCACAGAATTGGGGAAAGAAGGTTACCAAGATGATCCCGACATTCTACGTGACATGGATGTGGAGGTTATTGATATCAATAATGATAGTACCGATCCCCCTCACTCTTGGCACGAGAGCGATAAGGTTGACAATGATAGGAGAATGGAGGAGGAGGAGGACCATCAGGGCAGCACAGAGGATGACATAAGGATGAAGGAGCAGATGGGGAGAGTTGATAATCACAGTGGCAGACTGGCTGGGAAACCAGGGATGCCCGGGAGTGGAGTCGGGCTGCAATTAGAAGGAAAGCAAGAAGAAGGCGAAATCAGTGAAGGAGAATTCAATGAGGAGGATGCGGTTGTGAATGTGGTTGATGAGAGCGACAGTGAGAGGGAGGACATGCATAGGAGAAAAATGGAGGACCAGAAGGAGGCACAGAGGAAGGAAGCAGAAGAATTGAAAAGCCGGCAGGAGGAGGAGAGATGTAGGAAGGAGAGAGAAATCGAAAGACAACAGGCAGAAGCAAGACAGAGACGTGAGTGGGAGACGCTGGAGAAAGAGAGAAGAGAAAGGGTCGAGAGGCAGGAAAGAATGGATAGAGAGCGAAAGGAGCGGCTGGAGCAAGAGAGGCTCGAAAGGCTGGAGAGAGAGAAGCTAGAGAGGGAGAGGATGGAGAGGGAGAGGATGGAGAGGGAGAGGATGGAGAGGGAGAGGATGGAGAGGGAGAGGATGGAGAGGGAGAGGCTGCTGGAGAGGGAGAGGCTGGAGAGGGAGAGGATGGAG